ACCCCGGCTTGTGTCAAGTTGACCAAAAACAAACAAACAAACAAATAAAAATTCTACCCAGGACACCTCTTTAGAGTGTGCTCTGCTCTGTAGTAAAGCACCTATACCTTATACTAAAAACATAGCACTAACAAATTACAGTCTACTTATGGGGCCAATCAGGTAGCACACGCCTGTAATCCAAGCACTTGGGAGGCCGAGGCAGGACTGCTGCAAGCCTAGTCTAGTCTATATGGAGAGTTTCAGTCTGGGCTGCACAGTGAGACCCTGACTCACAACAAAACGGGGACCAGTGAGATTGCTTAGGAGGAAAAGACTCTCGTTGAGAGAAACTCACAACCTGACTTCAGTCCCCAGGTCTCACATGGTGGACACACACACACACACACACACACACACACACACACACACACACGCACGCACGCACGCACGCACGCACGCATGCAGATATAACATAAGAAAACAAGTATACTAGAAATAGAACACACTGTTATATTTATATACCAGTAAAACTACAGAATTTTGGCTCTCTATCTGAGACAGATGCTACAGGTTTTTGTGTATACACTTACATGAAGTCAGATGTATCAGTATTTACTGCATCTGGATTTAGAATCACTGGTAGGATGCCTTTCTTTTAAGTGTGGTTAAGGAGGGATTCATGTTTCCTTCCACAGTCTAGTTTCTTTTTTCTTTAGCTGACAAATCAGTTTAGATCTAATCTTGTATATGGTATAAGTGTGAGACTAAACGTGTTTTGCAAAAGTTTTTCAGAGTTGGGATGTGGTTCAGTAGTAGAAGAATTGCTTAGCATTTACAAGGCTCTGTGTTCAATTCCCAGTACTTAGCATTTTCCCTTTCCTACTGGATTACATGGTTTGATAACTTCTTGCTATGTGTTTTCCAGTACTTAGCATTTACAAGGCCCTGTGTTCAATTCCTAGTGCTGCCAAAAAAAATCTAATCAGAAGTATTTAAGGGGTGCCAAGATGGCTCAGCAGGTATAGTGTTTGCCACCAGGTGATGTGCCAGAAGACGATCTGACTTTGACCCCCAGAGTCCACACGAAGGTGGGAGAAGAGAACTAAATTGTTTTCTCACACATCCTGTGGTAAGTGCACCCCACATACATAACGCACACATTCACACACACAATAATAATGCTAATAATAATAATAGAGTTGAAAAAGGTTTTCCAGAAGTCCCACAGCTTCCAAAAGCGTAGCAACCCTCTTAAAATACAAGATTCAGTAGCAGGTCAGGGCCAGTTGTGGCGCACCCCTTTAATCCCAGCACTTGGGGGGGCAGAGACAGGCAGATCTCCATGAGTTTGAGGCCAGCCTGGTCTACATAGTAAATTCCCAGTCAGCCAAGGCTGCAAAGCTAGTCCATATCTCAAAAAAACAAAAACAAAAACAAAAAACAAAAAACAATCTTGCTGCATAATCAGCCACAACTGTGTCACAAAAGTCAGTCCTCCGACAATAAAACCAAATGCATACATGTCATAAATCCTGTTTGTAAAAATCGACGAGACAAACTGGCACAGCATGGTCCATTGACCCAAGTATACACATTGAAACCGTCAATCATTAACAGAGAACAACACTAATGACCACAGTTCCAGGGGTTGACCAAGGGTCAGTCACAGTTCTAGATTTCCTTGAAGACAGAAAAGAATAAGCAGGCTGCGAGTTGGTGGCGCACGCCTTTAATCCCAGCACTTGGGAGGCAGAGGCAGGTGGATCTCTGTGAGTTCGAGGCCAGCCTGGTCTACAAGAGCTAGTTCCAGGACAGCCTCCAAAGCCACAGAGAAACCCAGTCTCGAAAAACCAAAAAAAAAAAAAAAAAAAAAAAAAAAAAAGAATAAGCAACTTCCTCTGTTGTTTTGACTTTTCGCACTAGATGACTAACCATTTTTTCTTCAGTAAGTCTGTGTGTGTCTCGGTGATTGGAGACTCCACTCTTACCCATATGCACTCTCATTTCTCCTGCATTTTCTCTTCTCCTGTTTCTGGATCACCCAAACAATGGGATATACAGGTGCCAAGTAGAAAGGTTTATGCCATGCTCGGTGGTTAATAGAGGGTGTCCATCACTATAGTTTCCTTTATAGTGTTTATCAGTATCCTTCGAAGCATAAAAGATCTGTGTTTTTCTTTTTTTGTCATTTGACATTTTAGAGACAGGAGTGGCAAGGCAGTTTATGCCTATAATTCCCGCACTTGAGAAGCTGACGCAAGAGGATCACTGTCGGTTCAATGCTACATAGTGAGTTCCAGGTCAGCCGGAGCTACAGAGGAAGACCATGCCTCAGAACAACAAAACAGAGGCTGGATACGGTGACATGCATCTTTGACCCCAGGCAGGTTGGTTTCTAAGTTTGAGGCTAGCCTGATCTATAGATCGAGTTCTAGGATAGCCAGAGCTAGCAGAGAAATCCTGCCTCAAAAAAAAAAAAAATCAAAACAGGGCTAGTGAGATGGCTAAGAAAATAAAGGCACTTGCTGCCAAGCCTGATGACCTGAGTCCCATCCCCGGGCCCCACGTGGTGGAAGGGGAGAACCAGCTGCATCATGCTGGCCTCAACCACCGTGCGTTTGCACCTACGCACAGACACACAGACGCAACAGAGAGCTCATAGAAACTGAAAGAAAGCCCGGCAGTGGTGGCGCACGCCTTTATTTTCAACACTCGGGAGGCAGAGGCAGGCAGATCTCTGAGTTTGAGACCAGCCTGGTCTACAGAGAGAGTTCCAGGACAGCCTCCAAACAATACAGAGAAACCCTGTCTCAAAAAACAAACAAACAAACAAAAAAAGAAACTGAAAGAAAGAAAAGCCTTCTTCCCCTCTTTGAATTATATTGGCACCCTCGTCAAGGATCTCAGGACTTAAATGTGAGGGTTTGTTTTTTTTTACTTCTCAATTTTATTCCACTTGATATATGTGGCAATTTTATGTTTTGTTAGCTTTTTGCTTTTGTTCTTTTTTAAGAAGAAAGGATTTCTATAGTTTATGGTGAAGAAGCATCTCTGTGGGATCAGGAATGTGTAACCTAACTCCTCAAGTGCCATTTGAACCAGGAAGCAGAGAACTCAAGCCAGGATCTGAAGTAGGTGTCTTTCAAGCCTGCTTCCAGTTTCCAACCCACTTCTGCTAGCTGGCCACACAACTCAAAGTTTCCATGCTCCCAAAACAGGACCACCAACTGAGGACCATGTATTCAAACACAAACTTGCAGAAGGACATTACATATTCAAACCACAACGTTCTTGGGTTATCTCATAATGAAAAATGTGTTTAGTCCAACTTTAGGAAGTCTCCAACACTTTTTTTTTAAATTTAAGTTAGAAACAAGCTTGTTTCACATGTCAATCCCAGCTCCCTCTCCCTCCCTTCCTCCCCTGTGCTTCCCACCAGACCCCCCAGTCCCCCCCAATCCCCACTCCGATCCCCAGGGAGGGTGAGGCCCTCCATGGTGGATCTCTAGAGCCTGTCATTTCATCCAGGACAGGGTCTAGGCCTTCCCATAAGAGTTCAGGCTGAGAGAACATCCCTCATTGTGGGATGGGCACTCAAAGTCTATTTGTATGCCAGGGCTATACTACCCAAGGCCCAAATCTTTTTTTTTTTTTTTTTTTTTTTTTGTTTTTTGTTTTTCGAGACAGGGTTTCTCTGTGGCTTTGGAGGCTGTCCTGGAACTAGCTCTTTAGACCAGGCTGGCCTCGAACTCACAGAAATCTGCCTGCCTCTGCCTCCCGAGTGCTGGGATTAAAGGCGTGCGCCACCAACGCCCAGCAGGCCCAAATCTTTTTAAAAAATATTTAGTTTTATTTTTTCTGTGTAGGCATGCTTTGCTTGCATATATGTGTGTGTACTGTGTACATGCCTGGTGCCCAGGGAGGTCAGAAGAGGACGTCAGATCTTCTGGAACTTGAGTTACAGATGTTGTGAGCTGCCGTGTGGGTGCTGGGAACCAAAACGGGGTCCCCTGCAGGAGCAGCCCGTGCTCCTAACCACTGAGCATCACTCCAGTCCAAGAGACCTCCACGTCTTGATAGTCCCAGTAGTGTCCAAAACTCCAAGGTCAGTGGGTCACATCCTTCAGTGGGTAGGTCACCTTTTTCCCCTTTTGAAACAGGGTTGATGAAATGCTGCCCAGGTGGGCCTCACACGGGGTAGGTAAGCACTCTACCTTTAAGCTGTATCTTTGGCCTCAGTCATTTTCTTTTTCATATTCATCCACTGCCTTTAACTGCATTTGTATGGTTCTTATAAACTTCTACAATGGATTTTTTTCTGGGGGGGGTTTCGAGACAGGGTTTCTCTGTGGCTTTGGAGGCTGTCCTGGAACTCATTCTTGTAGACCAGGCTGGTCTCGAACTCACAGAGATCTATCTGCCTCTGCCTCTCTAGTGCTGGGATTAAAGGTGTGCGCCACCACCATTAAGCATGAATTTTTAAAAAACTATTATTATTTATTGTGTTGGAGGCACACACGAGCCTTGGGCACAAGTGGAAGTCGGTTTTCTCCTTCTACAAGGTGAATACTGGGTATTGAACTCAGGTACTTACGCTCGGCAACAAATGCCTTTACCTACTGAGCTATCTTAGCTTTTTTGTTTTTTTGAGATAAGGTCTCACTAAGTAGACTTAGCTTGGATGGGTGCCATTAGCCACGGAAGAAAAAAACGTAATTAGTACTCAAAATGAAGTCATCATCATTCCTAATTCAACATCATATGGCATCTAGAGCTCAATTCCCTATGAATATGCTGCTCAACTCCCTATGGATATGCTGACGTGAGTAAACTACTGAAACTGTAGCACTTTAGTCTTTTGGGAAAGTGCAAGGCAAGTCTCAGACCCGAAAAATTGGGTGAGCTTCCAATAAGGCAGGGCCCGCAAGCCCCGCCCCCACCTGAGCAGCTCCGCCTCACCTAGGCAGTCTCTAGGTAAACCACATTTCCCAGCGGCCCCTGCGGAGCGCCTGCGCACTGGGACGAAGCGGGAGGTGGGGGTGCTCGTGCTCTCCTCGCGCGCTAGCAGTCCGCCTCGCCTCGCGCTCACCTCGCCTGGGTTCTGACCCTCGCCATGGAGGAGGCTGAGGCGGACGCCACGGAAAGCTCTCGCGCCTCCGAGGCCAAGCGAGCCTCTGCCATGCCGCCGCCGCCGCCTCCCATCTCTCCGCCCGCCCTCACGCCGGCGCCTGCGGCCGGTGAGGAGGGCCCGGCGTCCCTGCCCGAGGCGGGCGCTCCCGGCTGCTCCCGCTCTCGGCCCCCCGAACTGGAGCCCGAGCGCAGCCTGGGCCGCTTGAGAGGCCGCTTCGAGGACTACGACGAGGAGTTGGAAGAGGAGGAGGAGATGGAGGAGGAAGAGGAGGAGGAGGAAGAGATGAGCCACTTTTCGCTGCGGCTGGAGTCGGGGCGGCCGGACTCGGAGGACGAGGAGGAGGTATCGACGACCCTTCCGACCTGGCTACCCCTCAGCGGCCTCCGGGACCGAGCGGGGCTCCCGCAGACCTGCCGTTGCGGTTGTCGCTGGAGCTCGTGGCGCTTGTGTAGACCTCCCTCCCCGCCCACCAGGCGTGGCCTCTCTAGCCTGATTTATTTTTGCGAAGTCCGGGCAGATCACCTAGGGCACTCTGAGTCCCTCTAGTTCATTCTGTAAAGACGTCTGCGTGACGTGGAGGGGTTAGATGGCTAGGGTACCTATCTCCCTCGAGCCTGCAGGTCGGACGGGGACGCAGTCATTTTCTGCAGGGTGTTGAGAGGGTGGTAAATCCTTCCCTAATAGTGGAGAGGATTTGGGTTTTGTTTTTGTAACGTGGTGGTGTAATTTGCCCACTTTTGTAAAGAAAGGCATCCGGGGATGGGGATGTTCCCTGGCCTGCAGGAGGCAGTGGTCGCCTGTAATATCGTTATTCCCATCATTCGGGAGGTGGAGGCTGCCAGCTGATAGTCGACCTTGGTAATGTGGGTAGTCTAAGCTGGCCTAGGGGCATTTTGTAAAACAACAAAAGAACAGATGCCCTTCCCTATCCGGGTAAAGTATATGCCAGAGAATTGGGATCTCTTAGAAACAGTGCTTCCTATTGGGTATTTTGGAGGGTTGGAGGTGCAATTAAATTACATTGCTTATAATGAAATCTTGAGATTATGGTTTAACTTCTTTTGAAATGAGGCCCTGCAGTGTTGCTTTGGCCTGGACTTCAACTCCTGGGTTCAAATGTGCCTTCTGTCTCAGGTGACTTGAGTAAGTGGGACTATAATACAAAACTACGTCACTCCGCTGGTTTATGGATGTCAGAAGGCACAGGCTTGTATTCTAAAACGTGTTACCATTGCATTTGCAGCGCCTGCTTAACCTTGCTGAGCTGACCCCATACATCATGTGTTCCATTTGCAAAGGTTACTTAATAGATGCAACCACCATCACAGAATGTCTTCATACCTGTAAGCATATAGCTCGTGTTTCTGAATAGTATTTTACAAATTTGAAATGTCTTTAAAGCATCCTAAATTAAACATTCTCTCTTCCAATAGTTTGTAAAAGCTGCGTTGTAAGACATTTTTACTATAGCAACAGATGCCCAAAATGTAGCATAGTCGTCCACCAGACACAGCCTCTTTATAACATAAGGTAAGAATATACATTTAAAATGTCTTCACCTTTAAAGTAACTGTTGAGTGCTTGTTTCTGAAGTCTTGATGTGGAGTTAGAAGAAAGGGAACTGCATAGGCAGTGTGTGTAGAGCACTCACTGTGTGCCGGGCGCTTGGCATATGCTCCAGATTAAATGGCAGTTAGTGAACGGAAAGCGGAAGAAATGAAGTCAGACACAGGGTTTGGGGGTATTTTAGCCTAGTCCTTCACGCTAGGGTGGGAATGCTTTCGGCCTGTCGTTTCCACTCCGCAGCAGCATTTAGATCATTCTTAGAATTCTGAAACAACTAGCCTTACTAGTAAAGCTCTAGAGCGTTATAACACATTAACCGAGTTTTCATTTCATGGTGTCTCCTTAGAGAAGAGGGGTAAGCTCGAGACACGGTTTCCCTGTGTAGCTGTGACTGGCCTAGAGCTCAATGTGTATGTAGATCAGGCCGGCTTCAAACTCAGATTCCCCTGCTGCCTCCCAAGTGTAAAGGATCGTACCACTGCTCTTGGCTTTCCTCCCTCCCTCCCTCCCTCCCTCCCTCCCTCCCTCCCTCCCTCCCTCCCTCCTTCCCTCCCTTTTTGTACCTGTGTACCACATGTGTGCTTGAAGTCTTAGGAGGTCAGAAGAGGAGACTGGATCCCCTGAACTGGAATTGCAGAAGGTTATGAGCTGCCATGTGGATTCTGGGAATAGAACCTGGGTCCTCTGGAAGAGCAGCCTGTGTTTTTAACCATCTCTCCAGATGAGATGGTCTACAAGAGTTAAAACGGAGTCTCTGAAAGGGGAGAGGGGCCTGCAGTGATGGCTCAGTGACTAAGAGCACTGGCAGTTCCTCCAGAGGACCCAGATTGAATTCCCAACATCCACAAACACACATGCAGAACACCAGTACACATAAAACAGAAATAAATCATTTTTAAAAAGTATAGTCTCCATTCTCAAGCACACATTCTTACTGAGAGCACACATCAAGGAACAGTTAGTGAACCATTCAGTAAGCTAGTCAATACTTAACAACTAAATATGCTTCCTTGGTTTTCTGAAATGAAATATATTAGGCACTGAGTACTGCCTCACTCTCATGAATCAAGCATCAAGATGTCTGCTCCTAGCCGGGTCACATACCTTTAATCCCAACACTCAGGAGGCAGAGGCAGGCGGATCTCTGTAAGTCCGAGACCAGCGTGGTCTACAAGAGCTAGTTCCAGGACAGCCTCCAAAGCCACGGAGAAACCCTGTCTCTACCCCTCCCCCCAAAGAAAACTTCTGCTCCTAAGGGAAAACAGTGAATTGACTGTGTACCAAAATTTATTTTTTTGGATTCTTAGATATCCTCTATCCTTTCTTTGATTAGGTTGGACCGACAATTGCAAGACATAGTATACAAATTAGTGGTCAATCTAGAGGAAAGTAAGTTTCTTTTATTACATAGTTATGAATACCAAAGTCTCTGACTCTGCTAGTTACATTTTACATGTAATTTAGTCTGTGTTTTATCATTTTTTAGGAGAAAAAAAGCAAATGCATGATTTCTATAAAGAAAGAGGTCTAGAAGTACCCAAACCTGGTAAGTTTGGATATGTACCCTAATGTATTCAAAGACTGAAGAGTTAAACTGTTTCCTTGGGACGCTGTCCTCATCCCCTTTCTGTTACTTGATGAAGTAGACCTGTAGAAGCTCAGGTTCCAGGCTACATCACATCTGAAGGCAGCAAGAACAGGAACTGATAGTCACAGCATGCTCACAAGAGCAGAGAGAAATCCATGCATGCACACATGCCTATCGCTCAACTCACTTTCTCTTTTATACAGTCCAAGACTCAAACCCAGGGGTGGTACTGGCCACTTTTAGTCTGGATCTTCCCAGTTAGAGTAACATGATTAAAAAATTCCTCACAGGCATGCTCATAGGCCTGCCTCATACAGATTTTACATTGTGTCAAGGTGATAATACTAACCATCATGGGTACTTTTTGGAAATAACAAGTTGTGTCATCAAAGAGACATTTTGAAGGTAATGCTGCAGTATATAATGTGACTTAACTAATAGTTTGTAAGAATTAAGAGGATTGGGTATAGTGGTGCACACACTTGGGAACCTGAATCAGGATTGCTGAGTTTAAGGCCAGCCTGGGCAATATAACGAGACACTTTGATTTTTTTTTCCAGACAGGATTCCTGTATGTAATCCTGACTGTCAACTCTACAGTAGACCAGGCTGGCCTCAAACTCACATATATCTACCTGCCTCTGCCTCCTGAGTGCTGGGATTAAAGGTCTGGTGTCATCACCACCACCTGGTGAGACACTTTCTTTTTTTTTTCGAGACAGGGTTTCTCTGTATTGTTTTGGAGGCTGTCCTGGAACTTGCTCGGTAGACCAGGCTGGCCTCGAACTCACAGAGATCTGCCTGCCTCTGCCTCCCGAGTGCTGGGATTAAAGGCCTGCGCCACCAACGCCCGGCGAGACACTTTCTTTTAAAAAAGAGTGTGTGTGGGAAATCACAGACAGACTCAGGAAGTATATTTTTTGTGAGTATATTCCTAGCTCTGCCACTTTAATAACTTAGGTGACTTTACGAAATAATATCAGTAAGAAACGTCTATAAAACAAGGATGAATATGAAACTTCATTAAACACACTGATTAATACCAGCACTTTGAACAATGCTGAGCACATAGCAACTTTTTTTTTTTTTTTTTTTTTTTTTTTGAGACAGGGTTTCTCTGTGGCTTTGGAGGCTGTCCTGGAACTCGCTCTGTAGACCAGGCTGGCCTCGAACTCACAGGGATCCGCCTGCCTCTGCCTCCCGAGTGCTGGGATTAAAGGCGTGCGCCACCAACGCCCGGCATAGCAACTTGTTTTTATGGTGTTAGTAACAATATGGAAATCAGGTAGATTTGGGTTCTTGGTTCTTCTGTTACTTGGTACCTTAGGCAAATTGTTATCAGTTTTTTAAAGTGTAGATGTAGTGCATTTATAAGGATCAAATGAGAGTGTATGTAATGTGCTAAATGTGAGTATTGTACATGGAATGTGTAGTTACCTGTTAGTGTTGTTACTGTTTTAATGAACTCTCTGTGGCCTTGATGAATCAGTCAAATCTGCCTTCTCTGAACTTATAGCAAATTTTATTATTTTTCTTTCTTTTTTATTATATTTATTTAGAGAGAAAATATGCATGTGCATGTATGCACACATGTATGTTTTCCATTTATTTAGAGAGAGAATATACATGTATGTGTATGCACACATGTTTGTACTTGCAGAAGTCAGTGCCTCACCATGTGGGTTCTAGGGTGAGACCCAGAGGCTTGGCAGCAAGCTCCTTTACCAGCTGACCCATTTTTCCCACCTTAAAAAATCATTGGTTTTTGACAGATTAACTGATGCTATTAAGGAAAAGGGAATTTGATCAGGACTTTATAATAATTTAGTCAGCATAATGTAATACTTGTATGATTCATCCCATAAAGATCTCAATTTGTTAAAATTTCAGTGCTACATCAGCTTCTTTGTTTCTGTCTCAAATAGCTGTTCCACAACCAGTTCCTTCAAGCAAAGGAAAAACTAAGAAAGTCCTTGAGTCGGTGTTCCGTATTCCACCTGAACTTGATATGTCTTTATTACTTGAGTTCATTGGGTGAGTACCTAAAAAATCTACTGTTTGCTTATTTTTGCCTTTTTTTTTTTTTTTTTTTTTGGTTTTTCGAGACAGGGTTTCTCTGTATTGTTTTGGAGGCTGTCCTGGAACTCACTCTGTAGACCAGGCTGGCCTCGAACTCACAGAGATCCGCCTGCCTCTGCCTCCCGAGTGCTGGGATTAAAGGCATGAGCCACCAACGCCCGGCTTATTTTTGCCATTTTAAGAAAGGTTTTTACATTGTAGCCTAGACTAGCTTTGAACTCAAGACAGTGGCTTGTAAATTACCTTTTGGGGCTGAAGAGATGGCTCAGTGGTTAAGAGCATTTGCTGCCTTTGCAGAGGACCAGTTTCCAATCATATCACATGGCTCACAGCTGTCTGTAACACCAGTTTGAGAGGATCTGTGATTTTAACAAAAATCTCAGTGGTGAGATTTTACCAATAAAGACTTGGAAGCCAGATGCTGGAGTGAAAGCCTGCTAGCTCAGAGGCAGAGAAAGCGCCCAATTAACCTTCCTCCTCCACTGTCACCACAGAAGCCCCTCTTCTCCTATGCCATCTCAAAGCAGCCTTCCCAACTCAGTGTCCCTCCCTCCTCTTTCTGTTCTCCTGACTCCCTCTCACTCTCTTTTTTCTTAATAATCTTGTGTTCCTTCTGGTCAGCTGACTGCCTGCTCCACCTCTTTGACCTGTGGTTGACTTTATTTATTCCTGTTTATAATATTCAAGCAGAAAGCTCTTGAATTAAAGATGTGTGATAGGGCTGAATCACATCACAACTAGAAACAGGTTTTTCCAGTAAATAAAGCAGTCTGGTGGTTCCTGGTAACATCAGATCTACACTCTTTTCTGGCCTTCTCAGGCACTCAGGACACACATTAAATACATCTTTTGTTTTTAGGTTTATTTTATGTGTATGAATGTTTTACTTGCATGTATGTTATATTCATGTACCATGTAGATACCTGGTGGCCAAGGAGATCAGAGAAGGATGTTGGATCCCTTGTAATTGGAGTTACAGTTGTGAGCTCCTATGTGAGTTCGGGGAATCAAACCCAAGATCCCTTGCAAGAGCAACACGTGCTTTAACTGCTGAGAGATCTCCAGTCCCAAATATTCCCTCCCTTCCTTCCTCTCTTCCTTTTTCCCTCTCCTGTGTTTTTCTGGGGGGGGGGGTAGGGGTTAAGACAGGGTTTCTCTGTATTGCTTTGGAGCCTGTCCTGGAACTCACTCTGTAGACCAGGGTGGCCTGGAACTCACAGAGATCTGCCTGCCTCTAAGATTCAGAAAAATGTTTAAAAAGTAACACAGTAACCACTGGTATCCTTACCTCACAGCACACACAATCCCAGCATGATGGAGGATCACTTCCTTCAAAGATAGCCTGAGCTGTATAGCAAGACTCTGCCTGCTTTTTGCTCCCCCATTCTCCCAAAAGGAAAACCTGACCAAAACCATTACTAATACAACAAAACCAAGCAAGAATGATCCAGAAGCCTTGACCATATGACTACTTGTTTTCTTCCCTCATAACCACTCTCTGAAGAGCAGTTATTCATTCCTTTGCAGTTTTTCCCTTTTTGTTTTTTTAAGATTTATTTATTTATATACAGTGTTCTGCCTACCTGTATGCCTGGAGGCAGAAGAGTCCACCAGGTCTCATTATAGATGGTTATGAGACAGCATGTAGTTGCTGGGAATTGAACGCAGGAGCTCTGGAAGAGCAGCCAGTGCTCTTAACCTCTGAGCCACCTCTCTAACCCTCCTTTGCGGTTTTTCATTTGATTACTGAAGGGTCAGAAGTTCTTGATCAGTGTCAAGGTAGGTCTGAGATGAACACTAGAGCTTTATTTTAATTAGACTGGGCAAGGTGGCACTTTGGGAGGCAAAGGCAGGTGGATCTTCGAGTTCCAGGCCAGCTAGGGTACATAGTGAGACCTTGTCTCATAAAATACTGCACCCTCAGGAAATGAAGTGTGGAAAGTTTAAAATACTGTATTAGACTGCCAGAGTTTTACCACTAGGTGGCAGAAGTCACAATTCTATTTCTTCTCAAAGATTTAGGTAACCATGTTTTAAAAATAAAAGAAGGCTGGGCATAGTAGTGTGCATGCCTTTGATCATGGCTCTTGAGAGGCTGAGGCTGGCAGCTCTCAGTGAGTTTGAGACCTCCTGGTCTACATCTCAAGTCCAGGACAGCCAGACTACCCAGAGTCTCTTTCTTAACCTAGCCCTCAAAAAAGGAGAAAGAAAACAAATATTGGGTGTGGTAGCACACATCTGTAGAACCTCAGTGTTCAGGAGGTAGAAATCAGGAATTCAAGATCAGTCTCAACTTCATAATGAGTTCCAGGCCAGCCTGAGCTACTTGAGCTCCTGTCTTAAACATGATTTAAAAAATGAAGCCAGTGAGACAGCTCAGCAGGGAAAGTCACTCGTCAAGCTGTCCACCTGAGAGAGATCCTAGGAACTCATGACAGAAGGAGAGAACTGACCTGCGAGTTGTCTGACGGCTACATGGGCAGCACTGTGTCATGAGCATCACAGTAAATAAATAGATTAAAAATGCTTTTTAGCTGGTCATGTGGCTCATTCCTTTAACCACAGCATTCAGGAGGGAGAGGCAGTGGATCTTTGAGTTTGATGCCAGCCTGGTCTACAGAGTTCCAGGACAGCCAGAGCTACACAGAGAAGCCCTGTCTCAAAAAAGAAATTTTTTTTCTTTCAAGTTAAATGAATTGCTGCCTATGAAATGTTATATTGTTCAGTTTCTTTTGTTTCACGATTAGGCATATAATTTAAAGTAGTAAGTATTGATCAACTTTTTCTTTATTTTTCAGTGCTAATGAAAATACAGGACATTTTAAGGTATTGGCATTTTTTGTTTACTTTATAAGAGGATGCTATAGATATAAATTCCAAATCAGATTAGCAACCAAATACATTGTCTTCAATTAAAATATAAATTTTTGATAAGTTATTAAAATTCAGCAGTAATGCTGTATTAGTTTCTCGTGGTAAGAGACATTAAGCAGAGGTTTGTTACTGATTCAGAGCATAACATAAGGAAAATAAGTAATTTAATTTTTTTAAGAGTCAGGAGTGATATAAGCTTGTTTTCCTGCCACTCTGGAGACTGCAGCAAGAGGATACAAAATTTGAAGCCAGCCTGGGTAATTGTAGTAAGACTGGTCTCAAAAAAAAAAAAATCCAAAGTGTTTTGTGTAGTTGGTGCTTAGACTTTAACATGAATTTAAATTTTTATATTTAACATTTTTGGCTGAAGTTAACCTGCCTTAACTTGTCACTTCAAGCATTCACTGAGATTTGAGGTAAGAATAAACTACTTTGTATCATACTTTGTCAGTTACTTCGATATATAGCAAGCTGGAGATACCTAGAAAAGTAAATTTCTGTGATATAGACTCTGTTAATTTTATTAAGAAATGTCTAGGTTGTTTTGTTTTTGGCACCTGTATATTCTGTGATATAGACTCTGTTAGTTTTATTAAGAAATGTCTAGGTTGTTTTGTTTGTGGCACCTGTATACTAGAGATTTAAGGGAAAGCCCATAACAGTATGAGTCCAACACACAAGGCTCAGTTATCTGTCCCATTGTGACATTTGAAGAGATTAGTAGTTGGGGCTAAGAATAGACTTCCAATTGATACTACGGTACTTTCTTGCCTCGAATGTATGAAGCCTGGGGTTAAGTTCCCACAGTGTGGTGACTATACCTGTGATCCCAGCACTTGTGAGATACATATCAAGTACAAAGCAACTCTGGATAACGTGAAACCATGTCTGAAAAAAAAAAGTATTGTAGAAAAGCATTAAAAAGTTTAATCAATATTGCCACATCAGGAAAAGGAACAGAAAAAGAGGTTCCATGATGTTTGTCTTCAGGTCACTGGCTTAGCTTTCTGTGATGGTGGTGGTTTTGTGTTTTTGAGAAAGGTTCTCATTCTGTAGCCCAGGCTAACCTGGGACTCATGTAGCCCAGTTTGGCCTTGAATTTATGACAGTCTGCCTGCCTTAGTCTCCGAGTGTTGGGGTTATATGTGAGTCACCATGCTTGGCAACAGAAGAATTGGGGCAGGAGGCAACAAGTATATACAATTATGTTTTGATCAATTTGTGGTCTGATGGGTAGTTATCTTAGTTCTGGCTCTTGACGCTGGTTAAGAGACATTCTTGTTTGAGGGGATGGTTCAGTTCTCTTGAGACTAAAGATGTTCTCACCTTGGGGTGATCTGTCTGTGAGGCTCCGATGTACCTAGAATCTTAGGTGACTGTCCTTTTACTGGAGATCTTGAGATGCCTTTAGGGAATCTGGAACAGAATATTGTAAAAGATGGGAGCAAGGGGCAGGAGAAATGGCTCAGCAGTTAAGATCCTGTACTGCTCTCACAGAGGAGCTAAGTTTGGTTCCCAGCACCCACATTGAGTGGATCACAACTGCCTGTAACTCCAGCTACCTCTGTCTAGATTTCTTCTCATATTAAATTTTAAAAAGAACCCCCCTTTTTTTTTTTTGAAATAGGCCTGTAGTTCAGGTTGTCTTTAGCTCATATTCTCCTGCCTCAGCTTCTAGAGTATTGGATTATAGGTTTGAGCTACCATGCCTTACTTAAAAAAAATGTTTTGTCACTGTGTTGTCCAGGCTGTCTCAGCTGTTAGACTCAAGTAAACCTCCTGCCTCAGCCTCAAGTACAGCCTCCAGGCATGTACTACCTTGCTGTGCAGTTAATACTTAGGTGATCCTCTTGTGTCATCTTCTCCCAAGTAGCTGGAGCTACAAGCAGGTGCTGCAAATGCCTGGATTTTTGTTTTGCTTTGTCGTGTGTGTGTGTGTGTGTGTGTGTGTGTGTGTGTGTGTGTGTGTGTGTGTGTGTGTGTCGTGTGTCTGTGTGTCTGTGTGTGTGTCTGTGTGTGTCTGTGTGTGTCTGTGTGTCTGTGTGTGTCTGTGTGTGTGTGTGTGTGTCTGTGTGTGTGTGTGTGTGGCAGGATGCCAACCATAACTCAAGCTGATCAAGATCATCTATCAAATGTTAGGATTTTAGGCATGTAGCATTGTACTTGACTTCCTTGTTTTTCATGAACTTTCAAAGTAAACTAGCAAGCCTTTCTATTAAAAATTTTGTTGGCATATTTAAAAGATTTGCATAATTTCTATTTTTTTCTTTGAATTACAAATTGACTCAGTAGTTTTTCTTTTTCTTTTTTTTTTTCTTTTTTTTTTTAAGATTTATTTATTTATTACATATACATGTCAGAAGAGGGCACCAGATTGAATTATAGATGGTTGTGAGCCACCATGTGGTTGCTGGGAATTGAACTCAGGACCTCTGGTAGAGCAGTCAGTGCTCCCAACCTCTGAGCCATCTCTCCAGGTCCCAAGTTTTTCTTTTTAATAGCCTACTGAATCTTTGCTTTAAAGTTTGTAATTTCATGTATTATATACTTACATAATCTGAAAGTTTTATTTGTTTTTGTAGCCATTGGAAAAGAAGTTTGTGCGTGTTTCAGGAGAAGCAACTATTGGACATGTAGAGAAATTTCTTAGAAGAAAAATGGGTCTTGATCCAGCTTGTCAGGTACAGTACATGTATGTGAAAGGAAAGGTGAGATTGCAAGACTACCTTTGACATATTGAAGAATTGTCCCTAGAATCATATAGTGGCTTTTTTTATGATGCTATGACTGTTAATGGAATATTGATACATTGTGATTTCCAGCTCCAAAGTGAAATCTGATTTACCCTCTGTATTAGTCATGGTTCTCCAGAGGAACAAAACTGATAGAAGCAATATTCAATACAATGTATGTAAAATATGTACATAATATATACTATGTATATGTAGTATATATACTATGTATGTATATATAAAATAATGTGTATGTGTTATGTATATATTTACATATATACACACACATTAAAGAGAGATTAGAATGGTTTACAGGCTGTGGGTGCAAAAATCAAGAGTCTGGTAGTTGTTCAGTCCATGGGGCTAAGACAGCTGTCTTCAGTCTGTGTACTAACACCATCAAATAGCCTCAGCAGCAGGATAGATGAGCTTGCCAGTGAGAGGCTGCCAACAGAAGGTGTAGCCCAGATTTAGGGTGATCTTCTGACCCAAAATGATCCAGTTAAGAAAATTCTTTACAATTGGTTGCTGGTGGCACACACCTTTGATTCCCAGCAATCGTGAGGCAGAGGCAAGTGGATCTTTGTGAGTTCAAAACCAACCTGGTCTACAAGAGCTAGTTCCAGGTCATCCAGAGCTGTTATGCAGAGATACCTTGTCTCTAAAAACAAAACATTCTTTACAGGCACGCCCAGCTGCTGCTTGGGTGTGTTAGTTCAGATGTAGTTAAGTTGGCAGCCAAGATTGACCATCATACCCTTTATTTCTTATTGCCATGGATGACCATCTCCTGATTTCAGGAAAAACTGAAGCTGTGGGAAATACTAACTCTTGTGCAGTTATAGTGGAACAAGAGATTACTTAGTTTCTGCTTTCTACCAGAAGACTTCCTTGCAGGTGTAACAGGGGAACTCAAATAGAAAACTGAAGTACTTGATACAATTGATATAGACCCTTTTAGTTTTATTGATTTATTTATTTGGTTTTTTGAGACAGGGTTTCTCTGTGTAGCTTTGGAGCCTATCCTGGCACTCGCTCTGTAGACCAGGCTGGCCTTGAACTCACAGAGATCCACCTGCCTCTGCCTCCTGGAGTGCTGGGATTAAAGGCGTGTGCCACCAACACCGACTCCTATTAGCTTTTTAAGGATGGATAAATACCTCCTGCTTATGTGTTTTCTTGTTATAAGTTAGAAAACATCAAACTTTGCATGTTACTAAATATTAAAATGTCCTCAAACTTCTAGCTATGGGTCAACTGAAAATGCACCTTTATATAGCTTTGCTTTTTTAACTAGCATGCATAGTTTGATAGAATATTAGTATTTAGACAGGCTGCATGCTGTTGACTTGATCATATACTATAATTAGGATGTGATATCCAGGTGGGCAGGTTCTATCATGTCTATTGCTCCTTCTGTGACTTTGATCAGAGATCAATTCCTATTTATTTTTTTAATTTTTGTTGTTTTGGGACAGGGTCTCATGTAGCTCAAGCTGTTCATTCTCAAACTTCTTATGGAGCCAAGGCAGGGTTGAGTTTCAGGTCCTCCTTCCTCTACCAACTATGGGTATGCACTGCCATGCTTTCCACAATTCTCATGTATAAAAAATAAAAATCCCCATATCCAAAGCTCAAGGTTAGCTTTAAAGGTTTCCCTATTTATTTATTTTTGGTTTTGCTGTTTTACTCTGTGTGCGCATGCATGCCATAGTGCACATACAGAGGTCGGGGACATCTTTGGACTTGGTTCTCTGCCCCCACTGTGGGTTTTAGGGATCAAACTTAGTTTTGTCTACTGAGTCATTTTCTCAGCCCATTTATTTATTTATTTATTTGTTTGTGGCTTTTGGAGACAGGGTTTCTCTATAGCCTTGGCTGTCTGGGAACTCACTTAGTAGATCAGACTGAGATCTTCTGCCTCTGCCTCTCAAGTACTAGAATTAAAAGCACTTTGCACAATCATGGCCAGCCTCTTGACCAGTGTTTTAGATTTAAGAGTAGTGAGCTCCAGGTCCTGTGGAAACAAGTTAGAAAGTGATAGAGGACACCTGCCTAAAGCTTCCTGGGCTCCTTGAGCAAGGGTGCATGGAAAGAAAACTGTCTGATTTTTTAAAAATCTACTATAAAATAAGTCTTGAAGAAGTCATGCTAATCCCTCCCTCTTCGTGTGTTTTGAAGCAGAAAGTGGTCTGATAGCACGTTGTTTTCCCATAGGTAGATATCATCTGTGGTGATCACTTATTGGAACGATACCAAACTCTACGGGAAATCCGACGTGCAATAGGTGATGCAGCAATGCAGGTAGGTCTTGAACTTTATCAGGCTTATGCGGAACAGATTTCCTGTTTAGTGCTGGTAGAACTGAAGAGATGGCTCACAGATTAAGAGTACTGCCTGCTCTTGCAGAGGACCTGGGTTTGCTGTTGAGTTTGAGGACCTTTGGCTGCGTGTTAAGACTCTGTCAAACAAAACCAAAGATACATAATTTTAATTGAGTGTGGCAGGAAACTATTTGGGAGTTCTGAGCAAAATGAAGTGACAATCTGATTTATCAAAGAGTGCTAGTGGAGTGGAGACAGCTGAAGTTGCTGGGTGTGGTAGCATGCATATACCATCACTTGGTGGGTGGAAGCAGGAGGAGCAGGTCTTTAAGCCCATCCTAGGCTACATAGCTAGTTTGAGGCCTGCTGAGCTATTTGAGACATTCAGGGCTTTAATACAGTCTCATGAAACTTGACCAATTCCCTTGACATGCATAATTATTTATTAGAATGGAGACCCCTGATCCAATTATCTTCCACTAAGCCCCACATTTTCAATACTACACTGGGAATTAAGCTTTAGCATTTGAACCTGTGAAAGACAAACATAAACTCGCATAGAATTAAAAGTTAACTTTAGAGGCTGGTGTCTCATGCCTCTAATCCTGGCACTCAGGAGGCAGAGGCAGGAGGATTTCAGTGAGTTCCAGGACAGCCAGGACTGTTATACAGAAAAACCCTATCTGAAAAAACCCAAAAAAAAAAAAAAAAAAAAAAAAAGTTAGGCTATGATAGAGATATGAATAGAAAATGTAAATTTAAGTGATGCATATATATATATATTATAGAAAATACAAATGTAGACATCTAGGTTACATTTAATTTACAATTATTCTATAAAATATGTTCTTATATATGCATTGAAATAATTTTGATCTTAAGGCAGCTTGTAAAGCTATACTTTTGAGTTTTATATCTGCGTATCAATATAGTGTTCTGAAAAATACTTTCATTTCTGAACTATGATGGTGAAATGCAAAGTATGGTTTGTATGTATATAACCCTGATGATGGAATCTTTGTATTTGTGTTATATGGATATTCACTTCGATCACGCTAATTAACTTAGAGTAGATATGATGATGGCTCATGGACCAAACAAGGTATGGCATTATGTTTTACTGTGTGTCTATTTTATTTATTTATTTGTTTGTTTGTTTTTTGAGACAGGGTTTTTCTGTGTAATAGCTCTGAATGTCCTGGAATTCACTCTGTAGACCAGGCTGGGCTCGAACTCAGAGATCTGCCTGCCTCTCTCTCCCAAGTGCTAGATTAAAGGCTTGTGCTACATGCCTGACCTATTCTGTATTTAAATGTTTAGATTCCTACAGATAGACATCTGCTTTTTGGTTTACCCTTGATGTTTGTCATTTCTTACTATCTCATATGTCTGATACACATTAATTTATGCTACTTTCCTGGCCTTTGTGGGCATTTGAATTTGTAAAACCTTTTCTGGAATCCTAGTGTCCTTGCTGGAGTTACCAAGAACAGAAGCCAGGTGGCAGTGGGTTGAGTAGTAGATGAGAAATGAAGAAACAGAGCTATTGTGTCTCTTTCTTTTAAGTTATCATCATCATCATCGTCGTCACCATTATTTTGTTGTTTTTGAGACAAGGTTTCTCAAGCTGTCATGGAACTCACTATGTAGACCAGGCTGGCCTCAAACTCACAGAGATCCGCCAGACTATGCTTCCGTGGTGCCTTAGTTACTTTTTTATGGTATGATAAAACACCATGACCACATGCAACTTAGAAAAGAAAGTGGTTGGGCTTATAGTTCCAGAGCATTAGAATCTGTGGTGGTGGAGCAGAGATTACAGCAGGGCAGGATCTAAGAAGTCACATCTTCAACAGCAGGCAGGTGGCAGAGAACAGGCTGCGAACGGCATGAGTCTTTTGAAACCTCTGTCTCAAAGAAAAAAAGATAGCTCACTAGAGTTCTTGGTGATGCCAGTAAATAAGCAGTTATGTCTATCTTGTGCTCTTTTTTTATTTTTATTTTTATTATTATTATTATTATTATTTTTTGGTTTTTTCAAGACAGGTTTTCTCTGTATTGTTTTGGAGCCTGTCCTGGAACTCGCTCGGTAGACCAGGCTGGCCTCGAACTCACAGAGATCCGCCTGCCTCTGCCTCCCGAGTGCTGGGATTAAAGGCGTGTGCCACCAACGCCCGGCCCTCTTTTTTTATTTTTACATTAAAGAATTTTTCATTACTGTTAAGTTATGAAAAGAAAGCCTGTTTTGGTTTACTCATGTATTGTACATAACTAGTTTTTAGAGAACTGAATGGTCCCTTTTGCCCTTTTCAGGATGGTCTGCTTGTTCTTCATTATGGTCTTGTGGTTTCTCCTTTGAACATAACTTGAAGATACAAGGGTATATGAAGAGAGAAATGCAGTAAGGAGGCTTCTGCCAGTCTGCATCACACCAAAGATTCTCAAGAAACTTGTAGCCACCGCTACTTAGTGCTGTTACAGAGCTAGCTTCTGTTTTCCACACCAGAACCCTAGCATTATATGTACAACTTGAAACAATAGAATGTATTTGCTACACTAGAGACTATGTAAAAAGCACTCAAAACTCAGGGGAAAAAAATGAAAACACTGAATTTTAAAATTCCT